CTGGCGCTCTCCTGAAGGCCCGGGGAGAAAGCACCCCTGTGAAGCGGGGGGCCCCCGGCAGCCCCATCCCGCCCCTCCGGGCGCTGCCGTCACCACTGTTGGGCGGCGACGGGCGGCGAGTGTTTGGGGCTGGGCAACGGGCTCTTGCCGGGTCAGGAAATCACAGAAGGGTTTGGGTTGGAAGGGGCTTCTGAAGATCATCTAGTCCAAGCCTCCCTGCGAGGAGCAGGGCCGTCTTGGACTAGATCAGGTTGCTCAGAGCCCCCCTCCAACCTGACCTCGAACGTTTCCCGGGATGGGGCAGCGACCGCCTCTCTGGGCAAAAGGAGCCCGTGCAGACGCCAGCCCTGAGCCTCACCTGACCCGAGAGCTTCTCCTCCTCCTCTTCCCCCTGATTTCCCAGAACGGTGGTATTTCATCATTTGTCGAGCTTGGACTAGCTGGAAAGGGAAAACCAGGGAATCCCACTGGAAAGAGGAAGGAGAGTTTTTTTTTCGGGACGCTGCCGGCCCCGGTGACAGGCAGCGCTGCTCAGGCCTCTTCCCAAAGCATCCGAGAGGGCCGTTCTGCTCCCCTCCCATCCGCTGCCTCCAGAGGCCCGGCACCCTCCCCAGCACCGGCGCTTGCCCCGGTTCCCCACTTCCAACGTGCTTTTGCAATCGCCTCATCAGCGCCCGGGTTGGGGCTGAGGGGGCTGGGTGATGCCGGGGAGGTGACAGGGACACTTTTGGTGGGGTCATTTCTGAGGGGGGAGGAGAGGGCCTTGGATCACCATCCTCCCACCATACCCTTGGGCACGTCCCTCCCCAGGGCTCCGTTTCGGTGAAGCCGACGAGTCGTCGGGAGAAAAGGCTGGGCCGAGCTGGCGTGAAGCTTTGGCCCAAGTCGCAGCCTTTTGACCCGCAACACCGGTGCTTTTCCCCACCCGACGACAGAACTTGGTTGCCCGTGCCGTGGAAAGGAGCCGGGAGCTGCTTTACCTTTCCTGCCTTGCCCGAGATGTGGCAAACCTTCCCTTCTCATCTGCTTGTCCCCACCGGGGACTCGCCTCGAGGTCTCGAGAAGAGGCCTGCGCAGCGGCTTGGCCACAAGCTCCGTTTCAAACCTGGCAACAAGGAGAAGACGCCGACGTGACCCAGAGCACCACCAGCACTCGCTCGCCGCGATCACCTGCTGACGGGCAGACTTTGGAAGGGCCGTAAAGGCTGCTCTTTTCCCCAAGTCTACCGGGTTTTTCCAATGTCTACCGTGCCCCACCCCCAAGGACAGCCCTGGGAAATGGAGTCCCCTGGCAAAGAAGCCCTGGCCGCCACGGGAAGAAAGCGTTGCCTAAATTCCTCTGTCTTTCCCACCAGATCTGCCTCGTGGGACCGACCACGACCTGGGGACGCCAACAAGAGCCGCTGCCTGGTTGTCCCCGTGGGAGGACAGCCGTGGTCGCAAGGACCAAATGCTACCTTGAGCGTCTGCACCAACCAGTGGCTGCGGCCGCCAACGTACTCACTCGGGAAAGAGGATGACGCGGCCGGAAAAACTCAGCGAGGCCACGGGTGCCACCCGGGACACCAGCATGTCCAGCAGCTGGGGGACCTGCAAGGGAGGACCACAAAGATGGCAGGATGCCCTCCGCACGGCCGAGGCGCTCCAAATCGGAGGAGCCCGAGGCAGGGGGAGTTGTTAGGACTGTAGCTCTCGCCTCGCTCAAGTGGGATGACCGCGTCCCGGCCGGGCCGCATGCGGGCAGCGCCGCGACACCGCCGTGGGAGTGCCCGTGCCACAGCGAAACCAAAACGCTCACCTTGAAAACAGCTTTTGCCAGGTTCTCCTTCCCGGACAAGGTCTCCAGGAAGTCGTAGTAGAATTTCATTTGCACTCTCCTGCCTTCGATGAGGAGCACCCCCACATCCCTCAGGACGAGGGCGACGTTCTCCCCCTTCCCCAGGCAGTGAGAGAGGAGGGATGTGATGCCTAGGATGCAGCCCTCCGCTTTTCAGAGAGACGACACCAGCATGACCCACGGCACCACCAGCCCTTGCCACTTGCCACGATCACCTGCTCACAGGCGGCCGAGTTTGGCACTGTTGTAAAGGCCATTGTTTTCCCAAGTCAACTATGCCCCGTCCCCAGGGACTGTCCTGGGAAATGGGGTCACCCAGAAAAGGAGTCCTGGACACGACGGGGAAGAGAGTGTTGCCTAAAATCCTCCATCTGTCCCATCAGGTCGCCTCACAGGAATGACTACAGGCCAGACACGAACGAGTCACTGCTCGGTGTCTCCGCAGCAGGACTCCCGTGGTCACAAGGAGCAAACGTTACCAAACTGCAGATGAGCAGCTGCGTCAGCCAGAGGCTAAAGCTGCCAACATACTCACTCGGGAAAGACGATGACGCGGCTCGTCAAAGTCAGGGAAGCAATGGGTACCATGCGGGACACCACCATGTCCAGCAGCTGGGGAACCTGCAAGGGAGGAACGCGGAGATGGCAGGACATCCTCAACGTGGCCAAGGCACTCGGTAGTGGAGGAGTTCAGGGCAGCAAGAGCTGGTGGAACCGTGCTCTCGCCTGGCCTGAGCAGCTGGCCATGTCCTGGCAGGCCGCATGCAAGCAGTGCTGGGGAACCGCTGTGGGTCTGCCCAAGCAGTGGGGCAACCAAAAGGCTCACCTTGACTGTAGCCCCTTCCTGGATCCTCTTCCCAGTAATCCTCTCCAGGAAGTCAGAGTAGAATTTCATTTGCACTCTCCTGCCTTCGATGAGGAGCACCCCCACATCCCTCAGGACGAGGGCGACGTTCTCCCCCTTCCCCAGGCAGTGAGAGAGGAGGGACGTGACGCCTAGGATGCAGCCCTCCGCTTTTCGCCGGGACACAGAGGCGTCCGTGGCCACCTTGGCGTATTTCAGAGGCTCCAGCTCCTTATCGCCTGGAAAAGCACAGGAGGGGGATGGAGGCGCTCGCCCAGTGGCCCTTCCGCAGGCGTTTCCCAAGGGCTGCTTACTGCAGTCATCGCATCGCCCCCCCCCCCCCCCGAAAAAAACCACCATTTTTGGGCCTGCTCTGCAGAGAGAGAGTTGCTTTAGCAGAGCATCTCAGACCCAGGGCAGGGATGAAACGACCCTGCAGCCAGCCAGGGTTTAATCCGACGTCTTACCGGGCAGGTAGTCCTTGTCGTCCATCAGGTTGTGGACAACCGCCAGATTCCTGGCCAGGCGAAAGACGGGCCTCTGGATAATCACGGCCTCGTCTCCAGCCTGGATCCGTTGGGGGACGGCGTCGAAGGAGCCGAGGGTTGGAATTCGGACTCCCTGGAGCAGGAGAGAAGGCAAGGGCTGCAGGGTGAGGACTGGCTGGAGGGAAGGGCTGGGAGTGGCCCTGTCCAGGGACAGTGCTTTGGACCAGACCCCGCCCGCTCCTGCTGTTCAGAGACCTGAGCCAGGGCAGTGGGGAGAGCTTTAAGGAGGAGCTGCCGAGCCCTCTCCTTCCCTTTCCCCTGCCCCGAAAAAGCAGTGCTGGAGTCAGGGCAGAAGCAGCCCGAGGGCATCCAGGGGTCTCCAGCGACCGGGATCAGCCCTGCGGTACAATACCACCTGCCGGAGGTGATACCACCCTTGCACGAGCCCCGTTTGTCCCCCAGCGGGGACTTTTGGGTCGAGTTTCCTGCTTTCTGAGGAGGGAAAAGTAACTGCGGGCCATGCCCCAGGGCCGTGGGGACTCCCCACTCCCCTGGGTGGACTAAGAGGATGCGGGTGTCGCCCCACCTGGTGCAGCAGGAGCTGTTCTTGAACGTAGCCAGCCACCGCGTCCCAGACGGCGGTTCGCTCTGGAAGGCAAAGGAAAACCAGGTTGCGCTCTGCGTCTGCCAGCTCTCAACCCTCCAACGCCCCCCGAGCTGTGGCGCATTGCCACATGTAAAGTGTCATTGACGTCCCCGGCCCCAGATGGAAACACCCCTGAGATGGCTGCAGTGCCGAGTCTCACCCACACGACGCTACAACTGTTGGTCCTGTAAGCACTCCCGCGGTGGCTGTGGATGCCTGTACCTTTGGCGGTGATGCTGGGCATCATGAAGGCGTGCTCCATCCCGTCCCAGAAGTCCATCTTGGTCCGCCTCACGCCGGAGGGTTGCTCCTCAGCGGCGACAGCCCTGTGGGAGCTCATCCCTGCCTTCGTCCTACGGACGCTCCTCCAGGGTGTGGGACCCACCGTCCCGGCGGCCCCTTTTGTAGCCCTGCGCGGCCGTGTCACAGACCCAGTGTGACACCACGGTGACGTGGCCACTGCTGACTCTGCTGCCCACTGTGACACACCACTGACTTGCTGCCTGCTCTGACACCCATCACCTTCTGCCTCCCGTGACATTGCCACCACTATAACTGTTCACTCAACTCCTGCCCAGGTTTTGGCAGGACACGCAGCTCACGCTGAGGCGCGACGTGTGCTGG